TTACTTCGAACAGATCAACTCATTATAAAATTCTTTCGACCAAAAATAGAGTTGAGTTACTTAAATTGATTTTGCATCACTATGGCATATTGACTTTACAAAAAGAACAATTCAATTAAACAGCCCAGATGACTTTATGGTATAAAGGATTATATCATATTAGTGATATGGATTTTAATTGCTGGAAAAAGCGACATCAACAACAGAAAAAAGGACTTTAACCTTCAGGTGCATTACCCAGCGTTAGCCGACCGAGCTATAATGAGAACTCTTAAAAAACAAAGAAAACAGCTGATACGACACAGAAATATTCTGATGGAAAGCACACTTTTTCTCAATAATCACATTAATACAAAGACGTTTTATCGGGTGGGTTGTAGTCGCTGTCGTGTGGTACTGTAGTGATTTGTTAATAGTTTCTGATGGGTTTATTCTCTTTTCTGTCATGACAAATCGAAAGTCATCATTAGGGTTTACAAATTTAAGTAACTTTGTTGTGGTAACAATCCTGAGCCTTAATGAGTAATGTGACGGTATCGATAAACCAGCGATTTCATTAATGACAAACGGACATGTTATAATCATGGCATGATTCGAAGAGAGACACCAGTGTATCAAAATTTATATGGAAAGATTGCCAATTTCAAAGGATTTTGAACTTAAGTTATTCCCAAAGAATAGCAGAACACACAACGTGCAAATGATAATATATACATTATCTCATCTACCTGGTACATATATAGTTCATTCATATACAATCAACGAAAAAATAGTTATATGAGATAAAATTGTATCGACCACGCCAAATTCACAAAAATAAGTTAAACCTAGTTTCACAATTGATAAACTAGGTTTATCGACTGTAAACTATAGTTTACAAACCGTAATTAAACTATGGCACGCCAAATTCACAAAAATGAGCAAAACATAGTTTCACAGTCGATAAACTAGGTTTATCGGTTGTAAACTATAGTTTACGGACTGTAAACTATAATTAACAACGTTAATCTATATTTTACATCTGTAAACTATAGTTAACGCGATAATCTATGTTTCACAACCGTAAACTATACTTAACACTGAAAACAATCATTTGCGATTGCAAAACATAGATTATCTGATAAATACAGTTTCACGATTTGTAAACTATAGTTTACAAACCGTTAACTATAGTTAACAATCTGATAAATATAGTTTCACGATTTGTGAAACTATGATTAACAACTCTTAACTATAGTTTTAGATTGTAAACTATAGTTTACAAACGTGAATCTATGTTTATCAACAAAATCTATGTTTAACGCTTATTACAGACAGATAAACTTAGATTATCATTTGTAAACTATAGTTAACAACCGTTAAATATAGTTTTACAGATGAAAACTATACTTAACGAATCGTTAACTATACTTAACGAATCGTTAACTATAGTTTACGGTTTGTAAACTATAGTTTACAGTCGATAAACCTAGTTTATCAAAAGTGAAACTAGGTTTATCTCATTTTTGTGAATTTGGCGTGCCATATATAGATTAACGTTGTTAACTATAGTTTACAGTCCGTAAACTATAGTTTACAACCGATAAACCCGGGTTATCGACTGTGAAACTATGTTTAGCTCATTTTTTTGAATTTGGCGTGCCATACATAGAACTTACGAAATGATGACTTTAAATAGGACTGCTGATTTTCTTGCTTCATCACCTTGTTTTTCAATAGCTTACATCGTTTAAGAAATTGTTCATACATAGAACATTCTCTTCCGTATGGAATTAACTAAAAGATATAATCCCTGTATGCAGGAGATGAAGGTATATTGCTGCATAAGAAAGGGAAGTTGACTATGAAAAAGTTATAGTCATCATGTTTATCATAAATCTTTGTTGTTAGATAATCATTAACGTCTTTTTCAAGTGAAATATCCAAAAATGAAACGAAACAGATGTGTCAGACTCTGTGGTATCTTTTATTTCAAGCTCGCCAGAATATATCGTATCGATATTAGAATGGAAATTATCATTGTTAATTGACAATACATTGCCGATGTATCTAAATGTCGAATTGAGGGTCACAGGAACTGTTGTCTTCTTTTCACGTAAAAGATTTTGAACAAATTTCGCTTCATATGAATAGGAAAATAGATCTGCTAATGACGGGGCGCGATTGGTACCCAAGGGAATTCCAATAGATTGTTGGAAGACCCGGTCTCCATAAACCACATCATGAGGAGGGGGGGGGGGGGGAGAGGGCAGAAATATATAGAAAACTTAAAATGCGTCCAGGTTAATTATGACCTTGTGAAGACTAAGTGCGTACACGAACGGTTTCGTTCTTGCATCGTTGGAAACGAATAGAAATGCAAAGGACAGTCTATATGTGTACTTAGAATGTCTTGGCAGAAGAACAGGGGGACTTCCGTGAATCCGATCCAGGGTAACAGGACAAAGTCAAGATTACCCATACGAAAATGTGTAGTTGACCGTCAACTAGTCGTCAACTAGCAGTCAGCTAGTCGTCAACTGATAATGCGAAAACAGTTGACCAATAGGAGTTGAATGCTGAAAAGCGTTCAACTGATTTGCATAAGACGGCCAGTTGACCATTAGTTGATAATCACTGTTGATATTCTGCTGGGCTAGATATTTGGACTGACGCCGTCGCAGAATCCCTGGACAGTCACTCATAATTCATGTCTGGAGATTAAGTCCCAACTTCGGTCGACTATAGCAAGAATTATTCACCTAGACCACACTGCCGTTCGCTTCAATTACTGTAGATAACTTTTTTTCGCGAGTACTTTTTATCGCGAATAGGCTCTTCAACGGCAAATCGCGAGGATAATTATTGGCGAAGAGACGGTTGGTTAAGAGATTTTATATTGATTTCAGCACCATAATAATAAAGGCGAGTAATTTTATTTCGCGTGTGGTGCTTCTCGCGAAATTACGCGATAATTAATTCCACGCGTGTATTTAGGAATTTACAGCAAGTCATTTAGTTGTTTATTTGACTCTCTGTCACTATTATTTCTAGATAGCTTACCGTTTAGGCATGTAAATCCCAAAATTAAAATATTCACTGAAATCTCCGTTCGAAATATGGCCCCCGTGACGAAATTGTTTATCTCCTCGAATAAAAGAATTCCTATAGTCTGTTCTTACCCTATGTGATTCTGAACCAAGTCTACTGTGGCTATTGAACATCACATAGGGTAAAAACAGAAAATAACTAACGCACATTTATTTCTTAAATGCTCTTTTCTCTCTTATAGGTCAATTCCTTTGAAATTCTGCATACATAATCCCATATTTTTCTTTTTGGTTGAAAAATTGCAATCAAATGTATTTTTATTTCTTGGCCAATTATGCATGTCAGTCGTAATTTTGTGGAAATTTAATTTTCTTGGAACAATCACTTAACCCATTGTCTCAAGCCACGGTCCAAAGTCCGTTTATATAGCTCTCTCAGAAAGGATCATTCAGTTTGCGACGTTAACCTTGACATGATATATGAAATCACCTTGTTGAAAAACACAAAACACATATTACTAGTATCACGTAATAAAAATGTTTACCTTTCCGTATTTTTCAATATACGGTTAATCATATACTGTTTTTAGATTATGCCTAAATGTCGTGCTGAATGTTTCAAAGAGTGCGCTAAACTTAAGGCAGCTTTAAGTAAAATTACAAAATCAAAATAGAGAGTCGAAAATTATAAAACATAAAGTACATAAACTTATGTTAATAATCGATGGACCACGCATGTCCCTTTTCTGAAATTCTTTACGATAATGCTTCCTGGGGGAACTAATGATTCATTAAAATTTGTAATAAACATTTAATCTAAAATACGGTTATCATGGGAGAGAAAAATATTTCAAATCCAACCCGTATTATCTCAATAACATGACTAATAGTGTTGTTAGGTAATTACGCTATTAATGATGTGGACAATTGTAACTATGCTTACCTGTCAGAAGTGTGGTGCCAGCTCTCCAAGACTTCCAGTGCATCTATTGCAAGGTGTTTACAGAAGGCCTTTTTATGAGACTGGGGCTTGCGACGCAGTAATATTTGTATTTGTTATGCACTTTTTGTATTAACAGGCTGGATACTGTTTTGCTCTTTAACAGAAACATTCTTTAATAAAGTCCAGGAGAAAGAATTTATTCTTTAAGAATCTATACATATGAAAATACTCGACTGTACTCCTATTCCATTTTGGAACCCTACTTATCATTGATTTTAATGCTTGGTCTTCTCGAGAAGCAATAGACAACAGCAGTAAAATATATTGACAAGTACAGCTATGTAGGACTCTTCTATTTGATACGAACCAGAAAACGGCTAAATCGTTGAAATGTGCACTACATGCATCCATATTAATTACAAAAACACTATGCACCCGGCGGCAACAAAGTTCCAAAAACTATTTTAGCATATAGGTCACAGTCAAGGTCACAAGGCAAACCAATTATGAAGTCTCTATCTCCTATGGTTCAAAAGTTATATGGCGAAGGTTAAGGTTGACAACAGACAGACAAACAGATAAACAGACAAACAGACAGAACAAAAACATTATACGCCTCGGATCTTTTGATCCCGGCGCATAAAAATATGATAAATTTAATTTATCTTCTACAACAATATTGTGTGTGAAAGCAATATTTGCCGGAAGGGAGTGCGCATGCCCAACATGTAAGACACACATTCCTGGCAGAGGGAGAATTTTTGCCAAAAACCCTGTGAAAAAGTGAAACTCTGAAATTTAAAATGCAGTGATATTAATCAAGACATTCTTCTATGTGTTATGTGCAGATTTAAGTAGTTTACGGAAAGAAATAGATACACCAGAGAGTTGGTAAACTTTTCGGTAAGTCAGTGGCATTTAACTGTTAAACGGTGAGCGATACTCATATACCTAAATACAGTGTTATTTTGTCTTCACAATGGCGGAGATCTCTAAAAAACGACCGCTGGACAAAACGGATGATACGGGTGAATTGTCAATGGAACAAGATGAACAAGGTAAACAGAAAACTGAAGGTTTTCAACTTAGAGAAATTATGCAGGGCATTTCCAGCATACAGACAACGCTAGCTAATTTCATGTTACGACTCGATGGTCAGGGCAAGCATCTAGATGACATTACTAAAGAAATTAGAGCGAAAAACGGTATTCAGGAGAGGCTAGAGAATGTCCAGGAGCAGGCCAATGATACTATCTACCTCGTAACAGAGTTGCAGGACAATCAGAAGAAAATGGAGAGAGAATTAAATAGACTCAGGGACTACGTAGTTAAGCTTGAATATCGTGTGAACACGCAAAATAATCAAATTATCGACCTCAAATCAAGATCAATGGAGAACAATATTATTATCAGTGGGTTGGAGGAAAAAAGTCCAGAGAGAAAGTCCCCGGAAAATCTTGCTAATATTCTTAGAAATGTTTTCATGTCTGAAATGGGGATGGAAGAGGCAACAGTTAACGAACTCCGAATAAACAAACTTTTCCGCATGGGAGAGTATGATGTACAAAGAAAGTTCCCGAGACCCATCTGTGTACAATTCAGTGATAAGACACAAAAAGACCTTGTGATGAAGCATATTAAAGTCTTGAAAGAAAAAGAATCAGTTATAAGAGTAGCACAGCAGCAGCCGGAAGAGATCCGAGAGAGGAGAAAGCAACTCTACGAAGTTCAAAAGAAGTATGCGGAACGCAGTATCGAGTCAAAAATCAAGGGTGATAAACTTGTATTTACGCAAAGCAACTCCGTTTACCGGGAGAAAGTCGGACCTTTGCCTACCGCAGACGAAGTGATCACAGATGACGTGGTAAATACTGCCGTTAGTACAGGGAAGTCCATAGAAGATAACGGGAACCGGTTCATAGCACACGCTACACAGGTCGACTCCTACAAACAGATCAAGAAATCGCTGGTGGATATCATGCGTGTCGAGACTGTGCCAAGCGCGAGTCACAATATTTACGCCTACCGTTTCTCAAGTAGTGATGGAGTGGTGCACGAAGGTTCAAATGACGATGGAGAGCATGGAGCCGGTAGGTTGCTATTAAAAACGCTGGCCGATAACGAAATTAACAATGCACTTGTAGTTGTGTCAAGATGGCACGGAAATAACATCGGACCCCGTCGCTTCTCGCACATTAAGGAAGCAGGTCTCGGTGCGGCAAAGAAGTTACCAGTCTCAGTTTGATATATATCTTTCAATCTCGCATAAAAGGTGAATTCCGACTGTTATTTGAGTGGACCACTATCTTGAACCAATCTTATTACCGATAACAGTGTTTCAAAGTGAAATAAACATCAGGTGTATTTATTGAAATATTCCGGAATATTTTTTTCTACCTAATTATTCCGGCTTTTTTTGAAATGTTGTATTTCCTGTTTTGTTTTTCGCATTTGGTAAACAATTTTCTTTTCATTTCAAATATTGCCTGGTGTTAACATAATATGTGAATATATTATTTGACTTAAATACCACATAACAATGGGGGAATCTATGCACATAGTCTCCATAATATCAAACAAATATACATTATCTAATTGATACAAAACAGTCAAGTTATGATTTGTTTAAAACCAGAGTTTGCTCTGTTATTGTTTAAGTTATTAAACTTTTATCATAACTTTCTATGCTCATATCCTTTTTCGCTATTAAATAGAAAAGTCTTTGTGCATAGTATTCTCTACAATCCGTTAGCATTTTTTATTTTTATAAATGTGCCTACTTCCAATTTATTATCATAACTTTTAAAAAGTTTTTGGCAAAATCCCCCTCCAAATAATCAACAACAAGAGGCATGTCTTTTTTTCCCATACTTTTTTCAACTTTTTTCCAATTATTTGTTTTTGACAACTGGGGGTCAGCATTATTCCTATCATCATACAGACATTTATGGGACATAGGGAAAACAACATAAAAATACTGTCAGTAAACTGCCAAGGCCTGGGGGATATAGATAAAAGAGGTGATGTTTTCAAAAATCTAAAAGCTAAGAATTATAATGTTTATTTTCTTCAAGATACACATTCTGTGGAAAAAGATGAGAACATGATAAGAACACAGTGGGGGTATAAAGCTTTTTTTAGTTCTTTTAAATCCAATTCAAGAGGAGTTGCTATCTTATTTAATAACAATTGTGAAGTAAAAATATGCAACAAGTTTAAGGATAATGAGGGAAATTATCTTATTTTAGATGTCATCATTGAAGACTTACCTTTTTTATTGATAAATATATACGGTCCAAATTGTGATAGACCCAATTTTTTTCTAAGTTTACTTAATACAATAGAGGAGATAAACTGTTCTCAACACATTGTTATTGCAGGTGACTTCAATTTAATTTTTGATAAAGAGTTAGATTCAACAAACTACAAAAATTTAAATAATCCTAAATCACGACTTGAAGTTTTAAAACTTATGGATGCTCTAAACCTAAAGGATGTATATCGTGAAAATAACCCAAACTTAAAAAGATTTACATGGAGACGAAAAAACCCAATTAAACAAGCTAGGCTTGACTTTTTCTTAATATCGGAATCTTTGTTTACCATGACTCCTTCTGTAACTTATGAGAATAGTTATCGTTCTGATCACTCACCAGTTTTGTTAAGTTGTAAATTAAATGAGTTCATAAAAGGAAGAGGATTCTGGAAATTTAATAACTCTTTACTAACTGATAAGGAATTTGTTAAAAAGATAAAATATAAGATTGAAGAGGTCAAAGTTCAGTATGTCTGCCCTGTTTACAATATGGAAAGACTTAGCTGTCTAGGTAATGATGATATTCAATTTACTATTAGTGATCAACTTTTTCTTGATATTTTACTAATGGAAATAAGAGGAAAGTCAATCTCGTATTCCACTTACAAAAAGAAGGAAACAAATGAAAGAGAAAAACAATTAGAAAAAGAAATATTTGAATTAGAACAAAATTTAACTGAACAGTCAAGAAATGAACTTGCAGAAAAACAAACAGAAATAGAAGAAATAAGAAAAAAAAGGTTTAAAGGACAATGTATCAGGTCAAGGGTTAAATGGATTGAGGAAGGAGAAAAACCATCAAAATACTTTATTAGTTTAGAATCAAGAAACTATGTCAGTAAGCAAATTCCAAAAATAGAAAGAGATGATGGATCATTTGTTTCTACTCAGAAAGATATTTTAGAGGAAACAAAGTCTTTTTATGAAAGTTTATATAAAAAAAGGGAAAATGTTGAATCTGAAAATATTCATGAAAAATTAAAAAATTAAAGATATTCCCAAGTTAAGTAAAGAAGAATCAAATAGTCTTGAAGGTCCAGTGACAAATTCTGAAGTTCTTAATTTCCTAAAACAAATGAAAAATGAGAAGAGTCCTGGCCCCGATGGATTTACTTGCGAGTTTTTCAAATTTTTTTGGAAAGATATAGGTTCTTTTATTACAAGAGCAATAAACAATTCATATGATCTAACACATTTTACAGAGTCAAATAAACTTGGAATTATAACTTGTATTCCAAAATCAGGAAAACCAAAACAGTTTTTAAAAAACTGGCGGCCAATTAGTCTACTAAATGTAGTTTATAAAATAGCTTCAGGTTGTATTGCTGAACGAATGAAAACAAAATTAGACACATTAATCAATAGAGACCAAACTGGATTTATAAAAGGAAGATTCATAGGGGAGAATATTAGATTAATATATGATTTGATGCATTATACAGAATTAAACCAAGTACCTGGTTTACTAATGCTTATAGACTTTGAAAAAGAAAAAAAAAATTTAAAGTTATTTTAAAAAAAGTTAAAAGATAAAAAATTTAAAGTTAATTTTAAAAAAAAGTTTAAAAAATTTAAAAAGAAATTCATTTGATACAATTTCATGGAAATTTATATATCAAACATTGGACTTTTTCAACTTTGGGCCCTCCATTAAAAAATGGATTGAGACTTTCTACAGTGGTATTAAATCATGTGTAATACAAAATGGTATTATTTCAGACTATATATTTCCTCAAAGAGGCTGTAGACAAGGCGACCCAATTTCACCATATCTCTTTTTGTTATATGCAGAAATACTTGGAATTCATATTCGAAATAATAAAGACATTAAAGGCATAACAATCGAAGGCGAAGAATATAAACTTTCACAATATGCTGATGATACATCCCTGATTTCAGATGGTTCACCTACCTCAATGGATGGTATTCTACGAGAACTCGATTATTTTGCAAATATTTCGGGTTTAAAAATTAACTTCTTAAAAACAAAAATGGTTTGGATTGGAAGTAAGAAATATTCCAAGGAAGTTTTTCACCATTCTCGGTGGAAGCTTGATTGGGATAATTCAAACTTTGATCTGCTAGGAATAAAATTTTCAGTTAATCTGGAGGAAATGCTTGAATTAAATTACATGTCAAAATTAAATGATATTAAAAAACTCCTATGTAGTTGGAGTATGAGGAAACTTACCCCAATTGGTAGATTAACAGTAATTAAAACTCTTATAATACCAAAGCTAAATCATCTGATTCTTACACTACCAAATCCTAAACCCGAATTTCTAAAAATGTTTGAGACAGAGTTGTTTCATTTTTTATGGAATAGTAAAATACATAAAATAAAGAAAAATGTTATAATTCAGGACTATAAATATGGAGGGCTGAAAATGGTAGATTACACAGAATTTATTTCTGCACTTAAATCAAGTTGGGTTAGAAGACTCATTCATTCAGATGCAAAATGGGTAAAGTTGTTTAAAGCTGAACTAAAAACAGACATTGAAAACATGTGGATAAGGGGCTCAGATTACATTTTAAACTTAGCACAGAATTTAACAAACAATTTTTGGAAAGAGGTCCTTAATTCCTGGGTAAGACTTATAAATATAAACCAAGAAAACAAACATGTGTTATTAGAACATATATGGAATAACCCACATATAATGATTAATAGAAAATCTTTTTTCTGGAAAAGCTATTTTGATGAAGGCTTTGTCTTTTTAAATGACCTTTTTGATAATGATGGTAACTTTTTAAGCTTCGATACCATAGTAAACTTAAAAGTGAAAACAAATTTTGTTGAATATAATGGTCTTAAGAGGGCTATATTAAAAAGACTGAAGTATGCAGGAATAGAGGACATTAAAAGATTAAAGGTTATTGGACCAAATATTCCACATTCAACTTTCATTTTTTATAGAAGTAATAAAGGGTGTAAAGATATGTATAAAATATTTATAAATAACAAGAGAGAGCCAATCAGTTCTCTTTTAAAATGGAATGAAAATAATGTTTTCTTTGATGAAGCAGATTGGAATAAAATATTTGAACTTCCTTTCAAAGTTACTCAGGAATCCAAATTTCACTGGCTCCAATTTCAAATATTACACAGAATTATTCCAACAAATTATTATCTTTTTAAATTGAAGCTGATTGACTCACCAGCCTGCACTTTTTGCTTAAGTGACTTAGAAACAATTGACCACTTGTTTGTAGAATGTTTTAAAGTAAAAGACTTATGGTGTAGGATTGAAGAATGGGTTTTGGACAAATTTGAGATGCATTGTAGTTTTGATAAAATATCAATACTTTTTGGTAAATACGAGAACAGGAATATTTGTAAATTACAAAACTTGATTATACTTACTGTAAAGCAATTTATTTTTGCAAGTAAATATAAAAGTATTCCAAAATTAAGTATCGACCTCCTAATAAAGAGGATTATAGAGAGAATTTTTATAGAAAAGGTGTTGTTATTACAAAGTTGCAAATATATGGAATATGAAAGGCACTGGCAAACAATCTGTGATGTACTTTGAAAAAAAAAAATCATTTGTTTTTATGGTAAAATGTAATTATATGCTAATTTTAAGGATTTACATTAGCTAATTATAAACATTTGAATGCATTTTTCTACTACTGCTGACCCCCCCCCTTTTTTTTTTTAAATAAAATAAATAACTTTCACGTATACAAGTAAACTTTGTACTGCTGTAAACTAACGAAACTATCAAGACATTTACCGTGTATATGTGTTTATATGCTTTGTTTATATATATGTATTGTCTGCTTTGTGTACTTGTGAAAGAAAAAAAAAAAAAAAAAAAAAAAAAAATATTTGCCGTGATTTAAACTCAAAGAGTCTGTTTTTTTCTTTTTTAATTTTTGGTGTTTGTGTCAGTATCGTTAAATGATTACTTCACCATACATGAAAACAAAATGTGTTTGTGAAACACTATGCGCCCGACGGCAACAAAATTCGAAAATTCGAATAGCATATAGGTCACAGTCAAGGTCACAAGGTCATTTACCTTGGTGTCATTTGAAAGAATAATCAGTCGAGTACATGTATGCATACCAAATATGAAGTCTCTATCTCCTATGGTTTAAAAGTTATGGCAAAAGTTCGAAAAAGCTATCTTAAGCAGAGCCAAAGTAACAAGGTCATAAACCTTGGAGTCATTTGATGGAGTATGCCTCACAAATATGAAGTCAATATCTCTCACGGTTCAAAAGTTATGGCGAAGGTTAAAGTTGACAACAGACAGACAGGAATTAAAAACAATTTACGCCCGGATCTATCGATGCGGGCGCATGATAAGAAAAATGAAATGTAGGAAGCATATAAAAATAAATTAGTATTCCTTTATAATAATAAAGAAGATGTGTTTGCGAAACACTGATGCCCCCGTATTGCAACACAGCAAAGATTCAACTTTTCTGCAAATTTAATAGTAGAATATTGGTACCGAAAGTAGGGTATTCTCAATGGAAATACAATTGTGAAACATGAAAGTAAGCCTAGGTTAAATTTTTTTTTCATATGTACGGAAATCTCCAAGGTCAAGGTCAAAATGTCAAGGTACAAGGTATCCAATGAAAAGTCTTGCCACAAAGAATACATATGTGAAATATGGAAGTCCTATCCCCAACCCTTCAAAAGTTATGGCCAAGGTTATAAATCTGAAAAAGAAGGTCAAACTCCAAGGTCAAGGTTAAAATTGACCTTGGAGTTTGGTCAAGGTCAATGGCCAAGTTATGGCCAAGGTTAATAATTTGAAAAAAATAGGTCAAACTCCAAGGTCGAGGTTAAAATTCTTGATATCAAAAGAAAGGTCTTGTCACAAGGATTAAATATGAAAAGTATGAAAGCACTAGCACTAACCCTTCACTAGTTATGGTCAAGGTTTGTTTTTTAAAAGTAAGTAAGACTCCAAGGTCAAGATCAAAGGTCAAAATTCTTGGTATCCAGTGAAGGGACTTTTCACAAGGATTACATATGTGAAGTATGACAGCACTAGCCCCTTGTGTTCAAAAGTTATGACCAAGGTTAAAGTTTTTAAACAGTAGGTCAAACTCCATGGTCAAGGTCAAAAGGTCAAGGTAATTGGTATCTAATGGAAGGTCTTGTCACAAAAAATACGTAAGTGAGGTATTGAAGCCCTAGCCCTAATCCTTTAAAAATTATGGCTAACAGGCTAAGGTTAAAAATCTTAAAAAGTAGGTCAAACTCTAGGGTCAAAAGGTCAAAGTTCTTGAATCAAATGAAAGGTCTTGTCACATGGAATGAATGTATAAAGCATGAAAGCACTAGCCCTAACTCTTTAAAAGTTATGGCCAAGGTTTGCTTTTTAAAAGTAGGTCAAACTCCAAGGTCAAAGGGTCAAAGTTCTTGGTATCCAGTGACGGGTCTTCTCACAAGAATTACATATGTGAGTATGAAAGCACTTGTCCTTACCATTCAAAAGTTATGGCCAAGGTTAAATCATTTTTTTATAAGTACCATAATCTCCAAAGTGAAGGTCAAAAGGTCAAAGTTGTTGGTATCCAATGAAAGATCCTACCACAAAAAATACATATATGAAGTAAAAAAGTCCAGGTATTTACTGTTCAAAAGATATGGCCAAAGTAAAAGTTTAGACTTTTTATGTAAAAGTGGGTCAAACTCCAAGGTCAAGGTCAACATGTCAAATTTGATGGTACCCAAAGAAAGGTCTTGTCACAAGAAATATACATGTAAAATATGAAAGTCATAGCTCCACTAAATCAAAAGTTATGGGCAACGTTAAAGCTTTTGCGGACAAACAGAGACAGCTACTGAGCTAGACAGTCAGACGGAAGGACACGACAAAAACTATATACCCCCCGAAACTTCGTTTACGGGGCATAAAAATAAAAACTATACGGTGAAGCCTATTCATTTTACCCATTAAAATCTGACTCAAGTTGTTAATTTATAATTTTTTGGACAAAAGTTTGTTTGTATCAACTGTCCTTTGGTAAAAATTTGATATGATTGAGATTCAATTTTTCACCTTCATGTTTGCCGAGCGTTTCCGCGGATCGCTCGTCAGCTTCGTCCATCTTCTTTGTCTCCGATGTAAAAGAGATAAGGAAAAAATAAGCTTATTTCCTGTTATTATGAGCAATATATAGACTAAAGGCATGACACATATTTTTTGCGTCATGTTTGCAGTCTGATGCATGTCTTGCTGAGATGAGGCTGCGTCTGGCCCACAAAGAACAAAGTACATTGCAGTAAGCATGGTTCACAGCGTAAATTGTGATGTCCAAGCTTACCTTGCATTTGAAATGCACCTATACAAATGTAGTTATCTAGTCTGGTGGTTTGGTGATTCGAATGCTCCATTTGACAAACATTTTATGTATGCTTTAGTTTTCTTAATTAAGGATATTTTTAGTATCATGTATGCAAGTACTTCTTAAAACTTGCATCGAACAAATATTCATGGGGAACACACCATGCGTGGTTATTCTAGTTTCGTCAGAATATTTTATATAGTTTGATAACTGGCAAAAGACTTAGTTTCGATGGTTTTTGACGGAAATACGACCTATATATTTTTGTAAAGGGTTTTTCTAAACGCTTACAAATACATGTACTGAACAATTTTTGGTACATGTACCGGTATGTGAGTACCTTTCAGGCACGTAGCATCGTTTTTGAAAGGGGAGGGGGCAACCAGAGAATTTTTTTTACTTTACCAGAAAAGGTTGATAAGCAAAAAAAAAAAAAAAAAAGAGAGAAAAAAAGTTGTCCGAAACGCCAAAAACGTGTTTCGGGGGGGGGGGGGGGGGGGGGGGCCAACTTTTTCAACCCCTTGCCCCCCCCCCCCCCCCCCCCCCCCCCCCCCTGTTGCTACGTCCCTGCCTTTTTGATTTCAAGACCGAAGTTTATCACGCATCGCTTAAATTCTTATCATCATTATATGATCCGCATTATCAATCTCTATTGTAATATAGGGGGTAGGTTTTTTTTATTAGTCCCCTACCGGTGAAACCGGAGGGGACTATAGGTTCCCTCTGCGTCTGTCCGTCCGTCCATCTAACTGTCCACGTCTGTCTGCCAGTCTGTCCTATTTGGTTTTCCGCACTCTTTTTCTAAACGCTTGCAGATACTGAGCTGAATTTTGGTATGTTAGTGTATCTTGATGAGTTATAGATCAAGTTTGAATGTCGTTTCGCTTCATTGATTTTTGACAAAAATTTAGGCATTTTTAATTTTTCATAATGGTTTAAGATCGGGTCCTTGCTGCGCTAAATTCCGATGGTCAACATGGTAAATATAAACAGGTCCAGTCCAAAGACTATTTCTACCTACGTAGACATTAATAGCTACGTAGGTATTAGGTATTTAAACCTATCCAAAGTAGCTATCTTTACCTACTTTCTGGCTTTTCTTGCATTTTGTGGCCAAGTGCAGGAACGGCGCAACATGGTGAGCACACAATTCCTTGATACAGTCACACTGATGGAGGATATGACAAAAATTTAGCCAAAAAATGATTACTTTGTATATTATCAATTTCGCATAGAAACTAATGCAAAATTGTTGATTCATGAAGCAATCATTTTTTGTCCAAAATTTTGTCTTATTCATCATTAGTGTGATTGTATAAAAAAATTATGGTATTCACCATGTTGCGCCATTCGGTCTTTTGGCTGCAAAATGCAGATAATACAAAAAGTAGGTAAAAATAGCTACTTTGGGTATATACCTACATAACGTAAAAATCTTTGGAATGGACCTTTGAAAAAATGAGTTGAATTTTCGTCTTTTATATGTGGATTATTTTATAAGGTTAAAGGCATCCACAACCTCAAAATTGAACAGTACTAGTTTCACCTTGGACATACTTTTTGCATATTATGAAATGACATCCTAAAGAAGAAGGGGAACCCGGTAGGGGACATGTATGATGTATTGCTTATGTAATACTCTCAAAAATCTTGTTTCTTTGAGTTTCCCTGTTTTTTTCTCTGTTATCTATATGTATTCATTCATAATGAGGGAAAAGTTCATCATACCTTAAAAGTCCCGAAAGATCTAAGGAAAGATATGGTGGTAACGAAAAGTATTCAATATCAATTAAAGTCCATAAAACAATACAAAACAGGACATCTATTCACAAAAAATCGTAAGTTTACGTCTACGACTTGAACTTAAATATAAAAGTTAAATTCACGAAAGTGGTCGTAAGATCGACACATTGTCGTAAGTGAAAATCGATCGTAAGATTTTTCCTTCCTTGGTTACCGACAACTGCCCATGCGCAGTACATAGTACGAGAAAAGCGGAAGTAGGCCTAGCAGACGATTACGCAACACCCAAGTCTTGAAAATGAGCGCTGACAGCAGCAGAAAGAAGAATTGGAGTGCCGGAGAAATATCTCTCCTCGTGGATCTCGTATCCGAGAGGAAAGATGTGTTGCGGGGGAGATTTTCTCCGGCACTCACCTCAGCAGATAAGGCTGGGGCTTGGGAGGCCATCACCACAAGGTTTGTAAAATTTGTTTACAATGTCAAATCACTCTATGAAAGTATGCAACAACAGTAGATATGTGATTAACATGCAAGTATATTTAAATAAAAATATGAAATATCTGGATGCATATTGTAAACAATACTGAACAATGTCTTAAAATGAAATTCCAAAATGAAATTCCTATCGGACTTACATTTGCAGGTGTATGGGGGAAAAGGGTGGTTGGGTAGGGGTAAGCCACGTCACTGTAGGCCCTATATTTCTTACGTTGAGTGTTTATTTTAGAAATGTGGATAAGTTGTTCATTTATATTATATAATATTGTGAAATCCGGTAATCAGATTAGTAAATAGTGAATACGAAGTATTTACTTATTTTTTTAATTGACGAATAATGACTCGAACGAACTGTCTCTTTTTCACTTTCGCTTTAGTCAAACCCCTAATTATACAGAGATTCGTAAGTTCACAAGTTTGCGAACTGCAGTGAGAAAGATTCTAAAGATATCCCGAAGAACTCTGAGGCCGAAAATACAAAACGATTAACAAGGATACCTGTTAACATTGTTTTCGGGAATATTTAAAACAAGCCATTCTATGATTGAATTCGACTTTTCCACTCGGCGAGCATAGTTTTGATGCTGTTTACGGAGACTAAAGAAAATAAAGACAAGCATGCCATATATGGTTGTGTAGATAAATTATCGTATATGACATAGGTATTAACATTTTGTGAATGCATTTCCTTTGCAAGTATAAATGAGTGCGATTATAGGGGAGGGGTACTCAATATACCTCTATACCTTGTGTTATAATCATGTGATGGGTTAAAAAATTATTACTGAGAATTATAACAAAAAATGAGTAACATTCAATAAATTCTGAAACATTTACATTCAACCTATTTATGGTTTACAACAGACAGCATTTTATCTCTGTAAACATTAAGTAGGTATACATTGTACTACATGTAATAAATTTGGGAAATAAAAATAAATATGAATTAGGTAAATATACTCCACATATCATCAGTCAATATCTGTCATCCTGGGTCATAATAAATACATATTGACCTACACTGAGTCCTTATTTGTATAATAATTTCATGTTGGAATTTAATTCTGTTGAATATTTTTAAATATTTATACATTTCAAATATTTTTTCCTTAAGATTTTAAATTCTGTGCAATTTAGAAGATTGTTCATTATCTCATGAATTACCATATTCATTTTTTTATGAAACTATTCAGTGTAAATGCAGTTGGTGGGAGTGGACGTACCACAAAAGAAGTAAAAAAAAAGTGGCAGGATATTCAATCATCAACTAAAAAAAAGGTATCCACTAAGACAGGGGGTGGCCCTCCCCCTGAGGACACCAAAGATTGGGAGAAGAGGGTAAGTTTTACATTCTAAGAAGGGCAGTTGGGAATTTTTGTTGCAAATGATTTAAAAGTTATCATGTTACTTGTAGCATACACAAAATATTTGTCAAATTTGAAACAAGTCTAATGATGTACGTCATTCAATTGCCACAAAATGATAGTTTACGATCATTTTAAGATATTTTAAGATATTTTGGGCCAAGAGAAATAATAGTCTTGTTTCCTGCTACCAGCCAGAAAAAATAGGGTATGTCGGGTAGCAGGAAACAAGACTATTTTTTATTTTGGCCTTTGCATTAAATATATGAGCTAGGGCGATTATTTTAGATCATTGGAATCATCTCTGACAAAGTTATTTATGGGATTGACGGGGGTACAGACACTCTAGAGGTCTCAACAGGAACAGGTATGAACATCATTCATTTAATAAAAATTGTCTTTGCCTTTTAATTTTACATGTACTCTAAGTACAGTTTGATGAAATCAAGTAAGTCATCAAAGTATAGAAAAAAAATCTTCAAATTGAATTGCACAGATTGAATTAATTAATGAAATATTATTAGTATTAATCTCGCACGTGTACATCAACAGCATGACCATGAAGAGTTTATTTTAAAGTAAATCAACATTCAGAGCTACATTCTGTTTTATATAATTTTATAATTGCATATTAAGGCATATGTATATTATTTTCCTTGCTATCTGAATATAAAATGAAGATTTGAAGTGCATGATAATTTTCAGTTCTTAAAGCATGTAGTGAGAGTGAATGCAGAACTAGTGCACAGGCAGTGCTACCTGGGGTATCTGCCACAGAGACTGGAGGTACAGGTTTATAATTGTTCCAGCTAATTTGGAAGATCAGACAATTTCTATAAGATTTCATGTTTATGTTTTATCTGTAAAATTTTGAGTGAATCATTTATAGATAAAAAAGTTTTAAATTAAAACAATGAATACAATGCATAGAAGTTCATGGGAAAAAAAACTTTACTTTAAATTGTACCTGTTAATGATAATGAATTCATTGCAACATTTGATATATTTATAGCTACCTGTAGCACCTCAGCGGAGGTAACCAGTGAGTTTGAGCCAGGTATGTGAATTATAATACGTGTACTATAAGTACTTGTTTTATTAGAAGATATAGCTATATGATTAACAAAATCTTTACTATATGATGTACATGGTTAGAGTGTTGAAATATAAGGTTGTGTAGGATAAAAGCATAATTTTTATTGGTATATATAAGCATGAAATGACAAGTCAAAAACAGTTTTGTCACAAAATGTAGAAAATTAAAGCATAAATTATAAAAAGAAAAATAATAATTAGAATAACACATTCATCTGCAGTAATAAAAATGTATTTTTACAGTGGTCATTAATAAGCGTAAAACTTTAGAAGAACAGGATGGCTCCAAGAGAAGCAAATGTAAGTACATGTATATAACTAAAAGCTTTATATGTGTATCTTTATTGATTTTGCTCCACCTTCTCTCTCACTTTGTAGAATTAGCATAAAATTGAGGGGAAAAAAGTCAGCGTACAGAAATTTTTTTTTATTATTATTTTATGATTAAAAACTTAAAGTTATTGATTTTCATATTCAATTACTTTAATCCACTTGATTACAGGTGAGAAACAAAGCAGCAAAAAGCAGAAGAACACAGGTGTGTTGATTTTTCTTGAACATGATATCTTGCAAACACTGACAATTTGGGCCTCCTGATTCCAAATACATTCACAACTCTTATTTTAGGATTTTTAAAAATTATCTTTTGAGTTATTTTGCTCAAAAGGACATTATAGAGGGAGAAAAAGTTATACTGCAGATCATTAATTTTTGCGACATCTTATTTTCACGAGATAGTGAATTACTCTTGATAAGTGAGGTAAAATATATACATGTACTGTGGTTTCATCAATATTCGTTGAGCACCAATTTTCGTGGATTTCGTTGATGATCAGATCCACGAATTCAAATGTTCATTGAATTACGAAATATGACATTCATTGATAAAACCACAGTATTTTTGTCTTAATTTTTGTAATGTTAGCGTTTTTTGGCCGACATGTATTAAATAATTATTTATCGTAGAGTTACGATAATTTTTTGTCGTAAGATTATCGCAAGTATTTTTGTGAATAACCAAAATCGTACAAAAAAATCTTACGACTGTCTTACGACTACGATTAGTCGTACGATTTTTTGTGAATAGATGTCCAGGAGCAGAGCAAACACGGACCTCCGAAACATCAGAGGTTAGATCAGGTGCCATGGAGGAGGGAGCATCCCCTGCTGACCGTCACACCCGCCGTGTGATCCTCGGGATATAATGGAAAAATCCGTCGTCAATTCAGTGTGTAAATAATGGACTAACAATTAGTAAGAAAAACGTCAGTCAGCATTTGTCTCAATGATAAATTCTATTTGCTGACAAGGTCATTGTATCGACCATAAAATTTACGAAGTGATGACTTTAAACGAGACTGTTGATATTCTTGTTTCATCAAACTTGCTTCGCATTGTTAATAATTTACCTCGTTTTAGAAATTGTTCATACGTAGAGCGTGCTCTTGCGTATCGAATCAACTGAGATATATACACTCCGTATGCAGGTGATGAAGGTATATTGCTGCATAAGTATTAAAGGGAAGTTGACGATAGAAAAGTTAAAGTCATCACGTTTATCATATAGCTTGGTTGTTAGATTACCATTAACGTCTTTTCCAAGTAAAATATCCAAGTATGAAACAGATGTGTCAGACTCTGTGGTATCTTTTATCTTAAGCTCACCAGGATATATCGTATCGACAAAGGAATCGAAATGACCATTGTTAATTGACAATACGTCGTCGATATATCTAAATGTCGAGTTGAAGGCCACAGCAAGTGTTTTCTTCTTTTCACATATTAGATTTTGCACGAATTCTGCTTCATATGAATATAAAAATAGTATGCTAATAACGGAGCGTAATTGGTATCCATGGGAATTCCAATAGATTGTTGGAATACCTAGTCTCCAAAAACCACATAGATGTTGTCAACCAGAAACTCAAGCATCTCTTTGATGTCAACTTCAGAGTACTTGTGTGTGCAATCAGAATGTGTTTTAACGAAATAATTTTGCATACATGTATGACCAATGACCAGGTAAGTAAATATACGAGTTCCATTTTTATTGAAAAAGCAGCTGTCAATAATATCAAAAAGCCTGGATTTTAATTTATCGTGGAAAATGGTTGTGTATAAAGTTGAAAAGTCGTAAGTTTTTAAGCTGTTGATTTTGTTAAATTCTTGTGATTTCATATTGTCCAAAAATTCTTTGGAATTTTTGAGTATCCACATCTGATTCACACCACTTCTTGAATATAGTGTTACGCAGTACTCTTGAAGTTTTCCCGTCATTATGTGTAAAAAGGCTTGAAATCTATATAAACAAGATGTGTTTGTGAAACACTGATGCCCCCGTATGGCAACATAGCGAAGGTTAAGCTTTCTCAAATGCAGATCTAATATGTTGGTACCTAGAGTAAGACTTTTTCACAAGAAATACAAATGTGAAATAAAAAACCTGTTCAAAGGTTATGACCAAGGTTAACGTTTTTAAAGGTAGGACAAACTCCGTGGTCAAGATCAAAGGGTCAAGGTTGTTGGCTTAGAAAGGCCTTGTCTCAAAGATTACATATCGGAAGTATGAAAGTGCTGGCCCGTACCGTTTAAAAATTATGGCCAAGGTTAAAGTTTGTAAAAAGTAGGTCAAACTCCAAGGTCAAGGTCAAGTTGATCAAAGTTGTTGATATCCAATGAAAGGACTTGTCACAAGGATTACATATGTGATGTATAAAAGCTCTAGGCCCTACTGTTCAAAAGTTATTGCCAAGGTTAAAGTTTGTAAAAAGTAGGTCAAACGCCAAGGTCAAAGGGTCAAAGTTTTTGATATACAATGAAAGGTCTTTTCACACGGATTACATATGTGAAATATAAAAGCCCTAGCTTTTACTGTTAAAAAGTTATGGCCAAAGGTAAAGTTTTTTCATAAGTACTAAAATCTCCAAGGTCAAGGTCAAGAGGTCAAAGTTGTTGGTACTCAATGAAAGGTCTTGCAACAAAGAATACATATGTGAAGTATAAAAGTCCTGGTATCTACTGTTCAAAAGATATGGCCAAAGTAAAAGTTTGGAATTTTTTGTGTAAAAGTGGGTCATATCCAAGGTCAAGGTCAAAAGGTCAAATTTGCTGGTACGCAAAGAAATGTCTTGTCACAAGGAATACACATGTGAAATATGAAAGTCATAGCTCCACTATCAAAAGTTATGGGCAAGGTTAAAGTTTTTGCGGACAAACAGACAGACAGAGAGACAGCTAGACAGACAGACGGACGGACACGACAAAAAAAAAAGAATGGCCCAATTCGGTATAATAAAAATGTTTTTATTATACCGAATAGGGTCATTCTATAAACGTGAGAAAAAGTACAATCTGCTTGCATAACGACATATAGATGTGTTTGACGGGGAAATTTTTATATTTTTGAGATATTATACACTCTTACATTTTTTTCATTAACAAAAGGGGGGGGGGGGTATTATCCATACTTCAGGTGCCTGTGGCTTAGACACCAGTAATGAATTTTTGCTACCAGCTCGAGTTCCAAATCTTCTCACTAGTGCCATTACACTATGCAATTTTTCATTTCCGATTTCCATTCGACTGTTCAATTTTAATTTTGAATTTCGAATTGGGTGAAAGTACAGCAAAACTCGAATTATCGAATGCAAATTGGATGAAAAGATATAGTTTCGTTTGACCACATCCATCTTCATAAGCTACAGATCTTGTGCCCTTTCTTTTTGAAAATTTTTTTGTGAAAAAAGAATAGACACAAAAAAAAAAAAAAAAAAAAGGTGACTTGCTACGATAGACGACGTCTTAGGATTTTGATCGAGTTTTTAGCTCACCTGAACCGAAGACTCAATTGAGCTTTTCTGATAAAAATTTGTCCGTCGTCTGTTGTTGTCGTAAACTTTTCACATTTTCATCTTCTTCTCAAGAACCCCTGGGCCAATTTCAACCAAACTTGCTACAAAGTATCCTTGGGTAAAGGGGATTCAAGTTTGTTCAAATGAAGGGCCACACCCTTTTCCAAAGGGAGATGCTGTATACGGGGAAATTTTCGCCCCCGTTTTATTTTCGCACCTTTTGTCCTCCTCGTAAATGAGCGAATAAAAAACGGGGCGAATTCAAAGTAAATAATGTAATATCTTTAACAAAAATCTATCTGGGCGAATTTAAAAACTTATTTCCAAATGTGAGAGGGCGAAAATAACACGGGGCACAAATAACCCTGTATACAGTAACTATGAATTAGAGAAAAATTAATAACATTTTTTCTCAAGAATCACAGGGCCAGGAAAGATGAAACTCATGTGGAATCATCCTCAGGTAGTGTAAATTCAAGTTTGTTCAAATCATGACCCCTGGGTAGGGTGGGGCCAAAATGGCCGATCAAAGTTTTACATAGAAGTATATGGGAAAATCTTTAAAAATCTTCTCAAGATCCATAGGAACAGGAAAGGTGAAACTCATGTGGAATCATCCTCAGGTAGTGTACATTCAAATTTGTTGACCCCTGGGGCTAGGGTGGGGCAATAATGGCCGATCAAAGTTTTACATAAGAATATATAGGAAAAATCTTTAAAAATCTTCTTCTCAAGAACCACTGGGCCAGAAAAGATGAAACTCACGTGGAATCATCCTCAGGTAGTGTACATTCAAATTTGTTCAAATCATGACCCCTGGGGTAGGGTTCAACCAATATGGCCGATTAAAGTTTCACGTAGGAATATATAGGAAAAATCTTTAAAAATCTTCTTCTCAAGAACCATTGAGACAGGAAAGATGAAACTCATGTGAAATTATTATCAGGTAATGTAGATTCAGATTTGTTCAAATCATGACCCCCGGGGCTAGGGTGGGGCCAAAATGGCTGACCAAAGTTTTACTCAGGAATATATGGGGAAACCTTTTAAAATCTTCTTTTCAAGTACTTCAAAGCCATGATTAGTAATTTTTGTATGGAATCATCCTCAGGTAGTGTAGATTCTAGTTCGTTCAAATCATGATCCCCTGGGGGGTTAAAATTCACCCCCCCCCCAACCTCAGTAAACTTTCAGTTCTGATCTGATATGTGCTTTTTCCTTGCCGATGTGCTCAGGTAAGGGCTCTGGCCCCTTTTGCCTCTTGTTTTTTTTTTTATTATTATTTTTTTTTATTGTCCCATGAACGACTCTTGCCTCCGTAAAAAAAAGAATTTAAATTATAATAATCTTTTCAATATTGTATACTTCGTATTCCTAGACAGCTGTTGTGGTACAGTGTCAAGTGTCAAGAATTGAATGTGTATCTGACTATCGCAAAGAAATTTTTTTCACCTCTTAACCCGCTTGAATTGTGCAAAAGGGATGGAATCTCGTTGTACTTTTTTGTATCAAAATGAAGGAAGCTATTTCGTAATATTTTTTGCATGTTCTGGAACAGAACCTGACTTGTTAACACACACAGACGGACAATGAATGACGAGACATCATCATTTTACATGCATGCACATGTATTCTAACCAAACGTCTTGGGGTGGGGGTGGCTTCCGGAATTTTAATAAACATCTTCTATAGTAGCAACACATGTATGAAAAAAGGGGGAGGCTCCCTATCCCCCCCCACCCGATGCTAAATGTTCGTGCCTGGTGCATAATGCATCTCCCCATCATGTAACTAGTGCTATACCTTATATAATTTAATAAATAAACCAAATCTTTCATTCTTGTTTTATACAAGGAGAAAAAAGTTTACACTTGTAATGAGATTGTAAACCTAAGACACTAATTAATTAAATAAAGCTGATATAATCAAGGAATTAACGCTGAAATCACAAAAACCTGTACGAGTTGCATGTCAACTTTAACAATATTAGTCTAACATTACACTTCTTTGAGAGATGCGATCATGAACTTAGTCCGATCACTCGGT